GTACTTGTGGCACCTTAGAGACTAACCAATTTATTTGAGCGTAAGCTTTCGTGAGCTACACAAGTGAGCTGTAGCTCATGAAAGCTTATGCTCAAATAAACTGGTTAGTCTCTAAGGTGCCACAAGTACTCCTTTTCTCTTTTTGCGAATACAGACTAACACGGCTGTTACTCTGAAACCATTGTAAAGAGAATGGTCACTTTGGATGGGCTATTACCAGCAGGAGAGTGAGTTTGTGTGTGTGTGTGGGGGGGGGGGGAGGGTGAGAAAACCTGGATTTGTGCTGGAAATGGCCCAACTTGATTATCATACACATTGTAAGGAGAGTGATCACTTTAGATAAGCTATCACCAGCAGGAGAGTGGGGTGGGAGGAGGTATTGTTTCATGGTCTCTGTGTATATAATGTCTTCTGCAGTTTCCACAGTATGCATCCAATTAAGTGAGCTTGTAGCTCACGAAAGCTTATGCTCAAATAAATTGGTTAGTCTCTAACGTGCCACAAGTACTCCTTTTCTTATTGTTTGTGGTGTCATGCTTGTCTCACAATGAGCTCCTTCAGATTGCAGTGATCTGTCACATGGGTCCATTTTTTCTTTAAATGTATAAACACAGTGTCTCCCAAACAAAATACAGAGGCTCTCTCTTACTTCAAACCCCATTAAGCCAATTTTGGATTTGTCTTCAGCTGTGCATTAAGACACATCCTGTTTATCCAAATGAATCCCATGAACCCCACATAATTCATTCTATTTCAGTGACGTGGAGTCTATATAAGCTATAAAAGGTCTGTAGTGTCATTTGTATGATTACTTGCAAGTTTAACTTCTTACAACTTAAATAAAATAAAATAAATTTAAAAAAGAAAATTTATGGACTACCTGCTTTGGCTCCCTTTGAAATATTTGAGCTTTTAACCAGCTTTCAACTTCTTCAATCTTCTTCTTATGTACAGCAAGCTCATTCTAGAATGATGAGAGAGGATATAAGAAATACATATAAGCTCTGATTTATTAACTTTTATTGATACAGTTCAAGAATAGTACTTATGTTGCTAAAAATGCCAAACAGTGCTTACATACGAGAATGACCTAGCCACCCTTAACAATTTAAATACATCCTAAGCACAGCAATTGAAAGTAACCCATCACAAATCCCCTCCTTTAACTCCAATTCCCCACCAGTTTTCCAAATGCCAAGAATCAAAGATGAGCCCTGAAACAATCCCTGAAGTACAGTTGTTTATTATTTACATACATACCAACAAAGCCATTTCAGAGGTGGATTATTTTAAAAGCATAAGAATGTTAATTTACTACTCCACAGTAGTTCATACCACAAGGTTCTTCATTTCGAGAGTAATAGGTAATACACACACTAACATATTTGAAATGCATCAGTAAAAATGCAAGTTCTGTGGATAAATAGCTGTGAAAACCTGAGTTTGTTCAAGGTCTTCTCTACAGATAGTTGGCACAGTCAACTAATAATTCAGATTTTACAGTGATGCAAGACAATCTAAAATTTAGAAACTGCACTCTGGGTAGGACTAGTTTGCAGAAATAGAACAATTCATAATTTACACAAAAATGATTTTATGTCCCTTACCACATCTAACATTTAGAATACTTCTCATACCTGTGTTCCTGGTTTGTATTTATCCACCCATGGTTCATTTTGAGACTGGCTTTGATTTTGTTTAGAGTGATCACAAATTGAAGATGACTTTCCCTTGATTCTGGCCAGAACCTTATTCTTGTTACTTTCTGGCACAGAGGAATGATCTTTTCTCTTCTGATGCTGATTAGCCTCCCCAGATGACTTCACAAGAAGGGTACTAGATGAAGTATTTGTATTCCCAAAGAAATCATCAAATGAAGATGCCACCCAATCTGTTACCTGACAAAACACAAATTTGTGAAGGTTAATGCCAGACAGTTTTTCACTTCTTTTTTGCTCTATATTCAGCTGCAGTTGACTCTGAATAACTTGGCATTATCTATCAAATACATACATTTACATCTTGAATATTTTCAGTAACAACCAATCATTTTCCCTTATGAAAATATAATGAAATGCCATATTTGAAGAGTAAGCTTGAATGCTTGTCTCTCACTAACAGAAGTTGGTCCAAAAGATAGTATCTCATTCAACTTGTCCCTTTAATATTTGAAAAGAAGCTCTTAGAAGTCCTTAGGAGGTACTGATAATTATAAACAAATGTTCGCTTGCTCACCACTAACTGAAGTTCTACAATGAAAGCCTCTTATGCACCACAAGAAGCTTGACCTAAATTCCGTGGCAAGGACATTGTATCATCGCACTCTTGTGGAGCACATGGGAAATTCTGAAGCAGCTTCCTTTATTAAGTAAAAAGCCAAGGTTTAGAATGAGTTAAAAATGAAATAACAAAGAACACAATAGCCTCTTCAGTATTTTTATGTTATTCAATGTATTTAACATTGCCTCTATATTTTGAATGTTTGATATGCTGCACATTTTTGTATTTACAATGCACAAATTTAAGTGTGTGCGTGTGTGTGCGCGCATGCGCAGCAGAAACAGGTTTTGGCAGCTCAGTAGAAAACAGTTGGGCTTCGATAAAGGGAGAGATATGGAAACTGATTTTGGATTGTGGGTCACGCACATTTACCAGAAGTTTCTCCTACAGTGATGATCAGTAATGAAGTAGCTAACAAAGCTAACATTAAAATGTTTATCTTTAGGTTTTAGATTTAATAGCCCGTTGACACAGGTGGGGAAGTTTATATAACTCAGAGCTCTTTTTCAAACTGTATGTACACTCAACGACAACACTGCACAGTTTACATTCTGTCCACATTTTCAAGGTTATCTTCACAACCGCTGGGCTAGAACCATTTTTTAAAATGAAAATTTAGATTCTAAAGAACAATTCTGTGGAATCCATCACATGTTCTATAGCTGCACAATACACAGAGCCCTGCCTGAAAGAACCTAATAAGAATTAATTAAATCAATATTATCCCCATCAAGAGGGTTCGTGCATACTCAGTACTCTGCACACTTTTTACAAAACCGACACATATTTGCAGAGGGCTTAAAAATGTTCCACTGAGTGAAAGGGGTACCATCAACTGGAAAAAGAAAATCAGACTTGATTTTAAGCTTCAAGTAGTTTTTAATCACACAAGTAACATCTAAGATTACCAGAACTGATTTTTTTTCCCCCAGATAAATTTGTGCACTCGACAGCATTGTGTGAATTAAGTCAGTAATCTCTTTGATTCATGTGGATTTTTCACTCTGCATCAGTGAGAGGAAAAAACCTTTTTGTATAGGAAAATGTGACTGGATAACAAATACTGGCACAGAGATTAAGGAGCACTTGCAGTACTTGGAAGTACTTTAAATTATTATTATTATTATTATTATTTTTAAGGCTAGCTTTCAAATTGGTTTCCTTTAAATGGCTCACTTTAAGCCACAATGATGGCAAAAGCAATATTCAGGTATAAAAAATATGATACAAAGCAATCAGTACTTAAACTGACCTCAGATTTAACACAAACTGTCATATAGTATGAAAAACAAATTAAACCATTCCAAGAGAACACTGTAATTACACTCAGCATAAAAACAAGGAACACAGGAAAAAAGGCAAAAGATTATTTGCACTTTCGCCTTCATTTAAGTTTCTAATTAATATATAAGGGTAGAAATGGCTTATTGCTATATCATAAAATTATATTTAATTACACACACTTGTACCAAGATGTGCTTGTGCTGTAGCAAGATTAAAGCTCCAATTTACACACATAATCCAAAACAATTTATTTTAAAAAATATTTTTAATTATCAATCACCTACTTTAGTTGGCACTATCTTTCTTCTAGAAGAATTTTTTGACATCATCAACCTTTATCATTCCCATCCGCAGTGTATGACCACGTTAAAGAAAGTGACCTGAAACTGAAAGGTGGTGGAACAGACCTTAAGAATAATCCTTTCCTTCCTGAGGAAAAGAATCTAAACCATTTGTAGCCATTAAAGATTAACTAGTCTTCTAACTGAAACTATGTGAATTACTAAGTGATATTTAAATAAATGTATATGCAAATACAAGGTTAAAAATACATCCTATCTGCTCTACAAAGGAGACGGGGGAGGGCGAGGGCGGTTACAACCCAGCTGTAGTGTGGGCGGGACTGGGTTGCAACCCTGTAACTGGGTTATGCCCTACCTTGCCCAAGGGCAGTGACCCGGTTACAGAGGCACCCAGCGTAAAGCTTTCCCTGGCACTGGCTGGAACAGTGTCCGGGCACAGTCTGGCTGTCGATACCAGCTCCCCTGACTCGCTTGTCGCTGTAGCGTACACGGGCCCATCCGTGGCTAATCAGGGGCCCCGCCTGCACCAGGCGAGGGGCCCAATCCCGGTAAACTCAGAGCCCCCTCCCCGTTGCTGTCACGGTCCCAGGCGGGCGCTGGGGCGGGCGAGCTGACAGAATTGTTTCTTCTCCCCCTGTAGTCGGGTCCCGCCGCAGGGCTCGGGCGGAGATCGAGATCCCCCTCCCGGGGCCCGGCACTAGCGACCGCGGGACCCTGCAGCACAAACACCTGGGCACAGCGCGCTTCGGCCGCCGGACCACCCGCTTCCAGCGAGGGGGAGGCACCGGGCAGGACTGGGGCGCGCAGCCGCCGAGGCCTCTCCTTAGCGGAGAAGAGCGACGCAGGGGAAACCGACCCAGCCTTCTACAGCCGCAGGGACCTCCCACGCTCCGCGGCACTTAGCTGCCCGCACAGCGCCTGCCCCGCACCCGGGCCAAAGGGAGCCGAACAAACAGAACAAGCGGCGGCGGCGGCGCAGCTGCTGACGACCTCAGGGTGCGCCGCGCCAGGAGGCCAGGGAAGGCCCTGGACAGGTGCTCACGTGTCTCCTAGGTGACTCGTCTGCTGCTTTCGTCCTAGCAGCCGGCGAGACGCCAGACATGCGGCGGCCCAACATCCTGCTCACGGGTAAGAAACCGTGAGAGCCGCGCCCCTGTCGCCGGAGCAGCGACATGGGATCCCGGGGCAGCGCGGGGTCGCCCCGCCGCCTGCCCCGGGCTGGCTGAGCTGTGCGTCCTCACGCTGCAAGTGGTCGCTGAGCGACGAGGGGTGCGCTGCTGGCCTGAGCGACCAGGACGAGATCCATAGAGAAGCCGCAGCCGAGTCTGCAAATGTCCGTTTCCTTTGTCCCTGCCAGTGGGGATCTGGGAGTGGTCCGGAAACTAGGGAACTGCTTTGGGTTAAGTGGCTTAACGATTGTTTCATTAATTTTGTTCGATCCGTTATCAGCTTTTGATACGTCACGGTCTGATCGAGGAGTTTTTTCCCATCAGTTCTTTGCTGAGAATGGCAGTGATGCATTCGCACAAGTAGTCTGACAACTGGCTTTCAAATTCAGGGTTTTGGCAGAGTGTTGCTAGGACTTTACTTTACCATAACCATATGATGATACCAGAGTCAGTTTGGGGTCAGTTTTAATTTGCGTAGTGTGGAGCAGATTTCACTTTTATTTGCTGATGCCATTCAGATCTGTATTTTCTTGCCAAACTTTCTTCTCCCCCTTCTCCTCTGTTATTCTGTGGGGGTGGGGTTTAGTGGTAGTTATTTTGTTGTGGGGTTTTTTGGTACACTTTTCTGGCTGACTTATTTAAAGAGACATTTGTGGCCTTTAAGATCTGCACAGCTGAGTTGGTTCCTGTAAATCTAAACTTTATTTTTTAAACATTTTAACATAATTGTGTTTCTGCTTATCAATGAGTTTATGGTTGTGATGTACCATAATGTATTTATTTGCTAAAGTACTTACGTTAGGTATGATACAAATACTTTATATGTACGGCATTGATTTAAATAATGTATCACTTTATATAATTTGTTTTATAGGTACTCCTGGTGTAGGGAAGACTACACTGGGCAAAGAGCTTGCAGGAAGAGTAGGGGCAACATATGTTAATGTGGGTGATTTGGCAAAAGAAGGTAGGTTGTATAACAATGTATACTCCATTGGAGTATTTAGAATATATTTGCTTTGTATAAGAGAGACATGCAAACAATAGATAGGTTTCAGAGTAGCAGCCGTGTTAGTCTGTATTCACAAAAAGAAAAGGAGTACTTGTGGCACCTTAGAGACTAACCAATTGATTTGAGCATAAGCTTTTGTGAGCTACAGCCGATGAAGTGAGCTGTAGCTCACAAAAGCTTATGCTCAAATAAATTGGTTAGTCTCTAAGGTGCCAAAAGTACTCTTTTTCTTTTTGCAAACAATAGGTAAATATTAAATGTACATTATTGCTGCTTAATCAAAATTATAATTTTTTGGGGTGGGTTGATGGGCGTGATACATTTAGGAGAGCTTGTAATAATTTATTTTGAGATAAATACTAGACTTATGTTCATGTAAATCCTGTTAAAATAATAAGTATTCCTTGTTAAATTAATAGTCTAATAGGATGCCACCATATTGATCATGTATCTGTCCATCACACTGAGTGCATTTACAAAATACAGTTCAGACTGATGTCCATTATACACACTTTTTCTTACACTTTGCCATGTTTTCTTCCTTTCCTCAATCTCTCCAAATGTGACTTGATGGCTGTCATAAGTATAAAGGGAAGGGTAACCACCTTTCTGTATACAGTGCTATAAAATCCCTCCTGGCCAAAGGAAAAATCCTTTCACCTGTAAAGGGTTAAGAAGCTAAGGTAACCTCGCTGGCACCTGACCCAAAATGACCAATGAGGGGACAAGATACTTTCAAATCTGGAGTGGGGGACAAAGGGTTTTGTCAGTCTGCGTGATACCTTTGCCGGTAACAGATCAAGGATGCAAGCCTTCCAACTCCTGTAAAGTTAGTAAGTAATCTAGCTAGAAAATGCGTTAGATTTTCCTTTGTTTTTTTGGATGTGAAATTCGCTGTGCTGGAGGGAATGTGTATTCCTGTTTGTGTCTTTTTGTAACTTAAGGTTTTGCCTAGAGGGATTCTCTATGTTTTGAATCTGATTACCCTGTAAAGTATTTACCATCCTAATTTTATAGAGGTGATTCTTTTACCTTTTCTTTAAATAAAATTCTTCTTTTAAGAACCTGATTGATTTTTCATTGTTCTTAAGATCCAAGGGTTTGGGTCTGTGTTCACCTGTACCAATTGGTGAGGATATTATTATTAAGACTTCCCCAGGAAAGGGGGTGTAGGGCTTGGAGACATCTTTCCTAAAAATATCCCCCCAAGTGGTCTCTTTCGCTGTTCTTTGTTTAAATCGCTTGGTGGTGGCAGCGTACCAGGTTTTTAACTTAAGCTGATTCCCAAGGCAAGAAGGAAATCTGTGCCTTGGGGAAGTTTTAACCTAAGCTGGTAAGAATAAGCTTAGGGGGTCTTTCATGCAGGTCCCCAAATCTGTACCCTAGAGTTCAGAGTGGGGAAGGAACCTTGACAATGGCATTTTAGGGCAAAGTCCTACCTTAGTGCTGACAAGCCAGGGTAGGATAATAGGGATATTAGCCAGTGACTTCTTTTTCAGCAGCCTCCCCTTCCTTTTTATTTATCTTCCTCACTAGTATAAAAGCAAGAGCATGATTTAGTGCTCAGTACTGTATTTTCTTGTTCCATCTGAAGAACTACATTATGAGAAAATTAAGGTTGCACAGTAAGGCACTCAGATCTGGAGATGCTAAGGTCAGAGTCTCGTGCATAACCTTAACTCTGCTCCCTTGAGCATAGGCATTACATTATAGTCTAATTATGTGATAAACTATTTCTCAAAAAAGTTTTCTACAAACTCAGGGCTCTGTCTTGCAATCCTCATTCATGCAAACAGCCCCGCTGGCCCCTCTCCTTCAAGTAGACCCATGTAGACATAGGAGTCTGCATGGGTGGCATGTGAACCGCTGGTTGAAGAAGGCGAGCCGAGCCCCGCCCCGCCCCTTCCACACAAGGTCTCACCTCTTCTGCAACTGCTGGAACCCAGAGCTTCCACACTGCGGCCACTGGCCTTCACCCAGGCTAGCTCCCCCAGCCCCAGGAGCACCAGGTGGCGCGGACCCAGCCCAAGCCGAGGCCACTGCATAGGGGGAAGGAAGCAGGGAGGGCATAGAGCGGAACGTGGGCAGGGCCACCCCGGCTGTTTGGGGAGGCACAGCCTCCTTCACCTATGATACCCACCACCCATGGGGGTCTGCTTGTATAGATTCGGATGCAAGATCGGGCTTTTGTAATCAGTGGGACTATTTGCATCAATGAGGACTACTTAAGGGAGTGAGAGTTGCAGGATGAAGCCCTGAGACAACTGAAAGATAAACACTTGGAAAAGTGTTAACTGCACCTTTTTAAAGGTTAAGCATGACCAGCTGCTCACCATACCTCCCACCCTTATACAATTGCACCTCATGTCTTCATTTCCCTCAGTAGCTTTGCCATGTAGAGGCATAATTCAGTGCTAAGATGCTTGTGGTATGACAGATGTTTTAATAAAGTGTGGATAAAAATTGATATGTTAAAAATAAATTGGATTTTTTATTTAAATTAAAAACAGGATTTTTATAAAATAAACTATTTAAATTTGAAATTGACAACCTATGTAAAGGTTTACACTTGTTATAATCTATAGTCATTTAAATTAAATATCAGAAATAATATGAAGCAATACATATTTGCAGACAAGTTTTAAAGAAACCCCAGACTACTGAACTGATAGAAGTCAATGCCTATGCACCTAGAACGAGAATTCTCTGAAGTGTTAAACCAGCTTTTGACAGCTATAGCCTCTTCTGAGGTGCAGAGAGAATATTTTCTTCATTTCAGTTTATTCAACTAGTTCATTCAAAGTTAGGAAACCAATTGGAAGTTGAAAAAGGAGAAGCACTTGTTTTCCTCTTCCAATATATGAATCAAATACTAGCTGCAATAGGATGATATTTACTAGTTCTAAAATCTTGAAGGACACGGTGTCCAGAAATAATCAGTTTGATTCACTAACTGCAGAGAGTAATTCCTTTGTTTAATATATTAGTTTTAAGTGCAAAACATGTTTTGATAAACCTTTTTCTTATGTATCTTAAGGTACTTTATTAAATAAAAATTCTGTTGAATATTCAATTAAAAACGCATAAAATCTAAAGAGAGCCTGACATAAATCACAAATAAAAAATTAATCATCTAGTAAATAAGAAATGCATCATTAACCATATTCTAACATCATAAAAACTGTAAAAATCAAGAATTTGGATAAATGTAAATTAAGCTGTATGATTGCTTAAATACATTTATATAGCTGTAGTGCCCTCCTGGTTTGCAAATGGAAGCAACAAATTTAGTGAAAAGGCCATATTTAGTTGTAAATCAGTATGTTAATTGGTACCAACCAAGAAGAAACAATTTTTTTCCCAAGGAAAGTAACTAAAAAGTTCAAACGCAAAACATGATTAAAATCAGTTATTTAAATCCAGTTTTCCTGTTTGCTGATTTAAATCAATCCACACGGCTTTAATGTTCAAGCTAATGCTTTTATCCATGGCATTTGTTTTATTGAAACAAATCTATACAATAGATTTTAAAGAATTTGAAAAATAAACATAATTTCTATTGACTGTCCATGTCAGATTAACATAAATGTGTTGTCAAATGACTACCATTATCTCACAAAATAACATGGACTCTTTTTTTTTCTATAGGGGAATTATATGAAGGCTTTGATGAGGAATATGAATGCCCAATTTTGGATGAAGACCGAGTGAGTCCAACTTCAAAATCTATCATATTGAAAGTGGGGGTGGGGTTAATTACGGTAAAAGCTGTGTTTCTGGTACTTTACCAACCGGAAAGCTCTGTAAGCCGGCTTTTCTGATCTTCATTGAAAGTCTGGTTTATAGCCCGGTTGGCGTGGGGCTGGCAGGATTCCTACCTGGCTTTGCTTGGCTCCCCGGAAGCAGTGACATGTCCCTGCTGCTCCTAGGCAGAGGAAAAGCCACAAAGGGTTTGGAGTGCAGGAGGGGGTGCGGGGCATGGGCTCTGGGAGCTGCAGGGGTGGCACCTGCTGGGGAAGGCAGCACGCAGAACTGCCTAGTCACGCCTCCGCCTAGGAGCAGCAGAGACACATTGCCGCTTGCGGGGAGCCGCCCAAGGTAAGCATGGCCTGGATCCAGCACCCCTGCCCCGAGCCCCCTCCTGCACCCAAACTTCCTCCCAGAGCTCAAGCCCCCCAACCCCCCACACCTCAACCCTGAGACCCCACCCAAACTCCCTCCCTCTTAGTTAACCAGAATTTTTTACTTACCAGCACCCCTCACTCCCCCAATGTTGCCAGATAACAAAGCTTTTACTGTACAAAGAAGCTGCATCTAGTTTTCTTGAGCCTTTGTCTGACTTTTCTGTAGGTAATTGATGAACTAGAAGACAAAATGAATGAAGGTGGAGTTATTGTTGATTATCATGGCTGTGACTTCTTCCCAGAACGCTGGTTTCATATAGTATTTGTACTTCGCACTGAAAACTCATTTCTGTACGACAGACTTGAAAGCAGGTAAATCAGTGGAGTAAATGAAGGTGAATTGTCATGCGGATTCACAGGAGCCTTTCAAGAGTATAAATTCAGGGTTTTGTAGAAGATAAGGATATAAAGTCCTCTTTCTTTTATATTTGCTTATCTAAGTGTTCTTTTGGTTTTGTGTTTAGAGGGTACAAAGGGAAAAAACTACAGGACAACATTCAATGTGAGATTTTTCAGACTATTTATGAAGAGGCAATGTCATCTTATAAGGAAGAAATTGTACACCAGTTGCCTAGTAACACGCCAGAGGACCTGGAGCGGAATTTAGATCAGATTATACAGTGGATTGAGCAGTGGATGAAAGACAACAACTGAAATCTGAGGAAAAAGGAACACGGACTTTTTTTTTTTTTTTTCAGGTTATTCTGGCTGCTCAATAAATGAAATTTGTAATTGTGGCATGGTAAATTAACCTTTTTTAGTCACTGAAGTATAATTGAACAATGATAACTTTTTAATCTGAGTAAAAACTGAGGAATTATAATAACGATTGATCATACTGATGAATCTGACATGGTTAAATTAAAATAATGCCAATCACTGACAGATGGATTTTGTACCGAGAGGAGCTGAGATCTATATTATCAAATGGTTATAGAGGGAAGTCAGGAGCGCACAGGCTATTCTTGCATTAGAGAAAGCTCCAGGCTGCAGTGGAGCGTGTATATATTTGGAGGCTTATGTTCATGGCAGATATGTGAAATGCATGACTTTTGTGAGCTGTTTTCAAACGCTAAGATATTTTAAAACAGCAGAAGCTTCTTCATAGCATAGGGGAGCATATCCTCATATATTTCTCCATAATATAAACCATTGCTCATTTTATGTTGATTATTTTACTCACTTTGGGTGAATTTTAAAGTTTTTGTGAATGGAAAGTTTAAAGAAGCAGCAGTATATCATTTTGTGGAAAGGGGAGTGTGAATTACTGTTTGAGAACAGATGTAAGTGACTACAGTGAAACCTGAGCTTGACTGCCTGTGGTCACCTGTCATAATGGCCAGTTAAATGTCAGTCCCTGCAAGAATTCCTCTTTATTGTACTGCATTATGCATCCAGCTGTTATTACAACTACAATAATAGCAGGCTCTTTGCTCGTCATTATTTATAGGTTTCACTGTAACTGTTTGAGTGGCCTGTGTGCATGGAAATGATCTGATTGGACTCTGTTAACAAGGATCTATGTGAAAGGATAGTGTTTAATTTGGATGGGTTTATCTTGTTTGTTCATGGTGGGTTGTGAGCCTTCTGAGCCAGATCCTGCAAGTTACATTCCCACTGAACCCAAGGGGAGTGTTGCTTGAATAAGGACCACAAAATCTTACAAGAATAGGAAATTGCCAGAGTTATTTAAACTTATCACCTGCTGGAAGAGGAAAAATGTTCAGGTTGATTTGAAGGACTATAATGCAAACAAGTTCTGAGTGTACTTCCATAAAGCAATTTTGGCTTTTTTGCTTTTTTTTTTTTTTTTTTTTTTAGGTATTTTTGGTAAAGTATTTTTCCAAACATGAAAATTAAAGTACATTAACATAAAAAATGTTAATTGGTCTATTTTATTTGTTAATTGGTCTATTTATTTTTTTATTTATCAGATTTGTGGAATGTAACATCTAGAACTATATTCTCAGGAAAAGAGTGGCTTGGTACAGACATTGTTAGGCAAAAGTCAACATGGTTTCTGTAAAGGGAGATAATGTCTTACTAATCTATTGGAGTTCTCTGAGGGGGTCAACAAATCTGTGGACAAGGGGGATCCAGGGACATAGTGTGCTTCGATTTCCAGAAAGCCTTTGACAAGGTCCCTCACCAAAGGCTCTTATGTAAATTAAGTTGTCATGGGATAAGAGGGAAGATCCTTTCACTGGACTGAGAACTGATTAAAAGACAGGGAACAAAGGGTAGGAGTAAATGGTAAATTTTCAGAATGAACACCACTAGTTAACCCTCTCCCTCAAGGGTCAGTCCTAGCACCAATCCTATTCAACTTATTCATAAATGATCTGGAGAAAGGGGTAAACAGCGAGGTGGCAAAGTTTGCAGATGATACTAAACTGCTCAAGATAGTTAAGACCAAAGCATACTGTGAAGAACTTCAAAAAGATCTCACAAAACTAAGGGCAACAAAATGGCAAATTAAATTTAATGTGGATAAACGTAAAGTAATGCACATTGGAAAAATAACCCCAACTATACATACAATATGATGGGGGCTAATTTAGCTACAACTAATCAAGAGAAAGATCTTGGAGTCATTGTGGATAGTTCTCTGAAGACATCCACGCAGTGTGCAGGGGCAGTCAAAAAAGCAAATGGGATGTTAGGAATCATTAAAAAAGGGATAGAAAATAAGATGGAGAATATCTTATTGCCCTTATATAAATCCATGGTACACCCACATCCTGAATACTGCGTACAGATGTGGCCCCCTCATCTCAAAAAAGATATACTGGCATTAGAAAAGATTCAGAAAAGGGCAACTAAAATGATTAGGGGTTTGGAATGGGTCCCATATGAGGGGAGATTAAAGAGGCTAGGACTTTTCAGCTTGGAAAAGAGGAGACTAAGGGAGGATATGATAGAGGTATATAAAATCATGAGTGGTGTGGAGAAAGTGAATAAGGAAAAGCTATTTACTTGTTCCCATAATATAAGAACGAGGGGCCACCAAATGAAATTAATGGGCAGCAGGTTTAAAATAAATAAAAGGAAGTTCTTCACTCAGCTCACAGTCAACCTGTGGAACTCCTTGCCTGAGGAGGTTGTGAAGGCTAGGGCTATATAACAGGGTTTAAAAGAGAACTGGAAAAATTCATGGAGGTTAAGTCCATTAATGGCTATTAGCTAGGATGGGTAAAGAATAGTGTCCCTAGCCTCTGTTTGTCAGAGGGTGGAGATGGATGGCAGGAGAGAGATCACTAGATTGTTACCCGTTAGGTTCACTCCCTCTGGGGCACTTGGCATTGGCCACTCTTGGTAGACAGGATACTGGGCTGGATGGACCTTTGGTCTGACCCAGTGTGGCCGTTCTTATGACATGTAACTTGTATGCCTCTACATCTATTTTAGCTTTTTATCTTCTATGACAACATCACTAACCATTAATAGCTCTTTGAATATTTTGAACTCTGTGGGATGCTCCATCAATGTCTCCTGTCCTATAAGAATTGTCACAGGACATCAGGCCAATGGCTCATCCAGTGTGGAATCCAGTCTCCGGAAGGGGTCAGCACCAGATGCATTAGAAGTTACAAGAAGCCATCTATACAAGAGTCAGTTATGGAATCCACTCTGCAGGGGGAACTTTTAACCCCCTTTTGGCTATGAGTATCAGCAATTGCATATACCCCATCTGTGTGTATAAAGCCCATCCTCTCTCCTGCGGCACAGGAGATAATAAATGCTAAGAGGGTAGTTGGACGCCAGGCTGAGCTCTGCTCATGCCCTCACTGCCACAGGCTCCTGGCTGCTTTCTGCCTGCGGGCTCGGCCACGGCTCTGGGGCCGGGGAGCATCACGACCTGCTCTCTCCCTCCCTGCCCCAGTCCTACCCTAGCTGAGGCCCCACACGGAAAGCCAGTCGCGCTGCCATGCACAGCGCCTGTCGGGGGGGCGGCCCTGATTGAGGCCCTGCCCCCCGAGGGCGGGCGGCGCTGCAGGTACTCGCAGGCGGGGGACGAGGAAGCGCGGGTGGCTGCGGAGCTTAGAGACCCAGGTTGGTGGGCCGCGGGGTGGTCACAGCCTCCCGTTGGCTGCCGCCGGGCCTGTCCCGACAGCTGGGGGGAGCTCCGCGGGGTTTCCCGCCGCCGGGCTCGGAGGGGCCCTCGCGCCCTGGCTAGAAGGGGCAGCAGCGGCGCCGCCTGGGGCAGTTCCCCCCGGCTGCGGTGGGAACGCAGCACCCGGGAGCCTGCGAAGGGTGCGGCTGGGCTGCAGGGTTGGGCGCTCCAGGGAGGCTGAGGGGAAAGGTTGGGGACCTGGGGGCAGGAGGAGGCCTTGGTGGGGGTGGGGTGCAGGCGGTTGGGTTTGGTAATAAAGCAGGGTTTGCACAATGTGAAGCAGCAATACGCAGTGGGTGCTGGGTGTGTACGCGCCCAGGGTTCAGGTGCTGCCAGGCTCTCTGGGGTCAGGGCTGAGTAGTCGCCTAGGGGGATGCTGCAGAGCTTAAGTGCGGGGGACCGCGCTCCTCTGTACACAGGTGTGATTTCTTTCCTCGCTCCTTAGGAGAAATCACACGTGTGCACAGGGAAGTGCAAAGGGTTTGATTTCTTGAGTGTTAGTTAATGGCATCACACACTTCCTGGAATTAGGTGCTTCATGGCTAGAGCCACCTACTAGAGTTCACCTGCACATCTACCAATGTGATATGTGCCAGCAGTACCCCTCTGCCAGGTACATTGGCCAAACTGGATAGCTCAGTGGTTTGAGCATTGGCCTGCTAAACCCCGGGTTGTGAGTTCAATTGTTGAGGGGGCCATTAGGGATCTGGGGCAAAAATTGGGGATTGGTCCTGCTTTGAGCAGGGGGTTGGACTAGATGACCTCCTGAGGTCCCTTCCAACCCTGATATTCTATGATACTTTTTTCACTCCTGCATGTTGACCAGAATACCTTTTTGGCCCTGACTTTCATTATCTCACTACTATTTAAAAGTGTCCTGCAAAAGGAGAAACATTGCTTTTTTTGGTGTTAGGATGTATAAAGAAGACTTGAAAAGGTTAACAGTTGTCTATATTTTTAAATTAGACATTCGGAACCTATTTAGGCTGAAAGACTCTCTGTCTTTGTATCTAGCAGGATTTTTTTTTATACCTGTGGTTTACCTCAGGTGCAGCAGAAAACTTAGATGGGCTCAGACATTAAAAATGGTCTCACTGTAAAAATGCCTGAGCCTTGTCTATGCTGTAGCCTCCACCGATTCCACTGGTGATGGAGCTACACAGCTAGAATTTTTCAGACCTTTAATTCCCAATGTAAACAAAGCCATGTAGTCCTTTAGGCTAGATGTGACTTGAATTTTTAGTGTAAAAACAGGCAGGGAAAAAAGAATCTTAAAAAATGCCTTTTGACCTATATAAATTATAAAGTACAAAAAAGTGCACAAACCTAGTTTTAAAAAAATCTTTAGTTGTTTGCGAACCTCTTGTGAAACTTCCTTCGCACATAAGCACTAACTGAACAGTAACTGACTACAAGACTTACAGTGACCTGAGAGCTTTAATATTTTTATTCAATCTGATAGTAGAAAAATGAGCTATCATGTTCCTAACATAGCTGCTTATATACAGAAGGCTGCCTAAGGATGGATCTCAGAGGTTGTGTTTTTACATTCTAAGTAAGCCTCTTTCACAATAGGTATAAATCATGGTTTGTAACCAGCTAAAGCAGGGATAGGCAACCTATGGCACGCGTGCCAAAGGCAGCATGTGAGCTGATTTTCAGTGGCAGTCACGCTGGCCGGGTCCTGGCTACCAGTTCGGAAGCCTCTGCATTTTAATTTCATTTTAAATGAAGCTTCTTAAACATTTTAAAAACCTTATTTACTTTACATACAACAATAGTTTAGTTATATATTATGGACTTATAGAAAGAGACCTTCTAAAAATGTTAAAATATATTACTGGCATGCAAAACCTTAAATTAGAGTGAATAAATGAAGACTCAGCACACCACTTCTGAAACGATGCTGACCTCTGAGCTAAAGTATTCAATTGTGATTACTGGGCACTTTCAGCTCTGTGATACATGCTGTACTGGAGCTCATCATTAAACTGTCAAAACAGTTTATTCACTGTGGTATTTCTAATGTGCTCTTCACCATAATAACTAAGTATCATTTCATCTTTCTAGATGTCCTTGTGTAAAGAGTAGGAATTTACCCTATGTTGAATATCTGCTCTAGTCTTATAAATTTGAGTCTAATAAGAAATAACTGATTAGACACAGACTTTGCTGATTACTCTCTTTCAAACAGCCAGGTGTATGTTGAGAGTTTCTTATTCAACAGATAGATGCGTTTCTAAGCAGCGTGGTGCAATTTTAAACTTTACATATTTGTTCAGTGGGCCACTCAACTAATATTACTGA